TCGATGGTGCAGCTGTATAACTTTTTGAGGATCTGAGGACCCATGCCAAATCTTTTCAGTCTCCTGAGGGGGAATAGGCTTTGTCGTGCCCTTTTCATGACTGTCTTGGTGTGTTTGGACCATGATAGTTTGTTGGTGATGTGGACACCAAGGAACTTGAAGCTCTCAACCTGTTCCACTACAGTCCCATAGATGACAATGGGGGCGTGCTCAGTACTCTTTTTTTTTCCTGTAGTCCACAATCATCTCCTTTGTCTTGATCACGTTGAGGGAGAGGTTATCATCCTGGCACCACACGGCCAGGTCTCTGACCTCCTACCTATAGGCTGTCTCATCGTTGTCGGTGATCAGGCCTACCACTGTTGTGTCATCTGCAAACTTAATGATGGTGTTGGAGTCGTGCTTGGCCATGCAGTCATGGGTGAACAGGGAGTACAGGAGGGGACTGAGCATGCACCCCTGAGGGGCCCCTGTGTTGAGGATCAGCGTGGCAGATGTGTTGTTGCCTACCCTTACCACCTGGGGGGCGGCCTGTCAGGAAGTCCAGGATCAAGTTGCAGAGTAAGGTGTTTAGTCCCAGGGTCCTTAGCTTAGTGATGAGCTTTGAGGGCACTATGGTGAGGAACGCTGAGCTGTAGTCAATGAATAGCATTCTCACGTAGGTGTTCTTCTTGTCCAGCTGGGAAAGGGCAGTGTGGAGTGCAATAGAGATTGCATCATCTGTGGATCTGTTGGGGAGGTATGCAAATTGGAGTGGGTCTAGGGTTTCTGGGATAATGGTGTTGATGTGAGCCATGACCAGCCTTTCGAAGCACTTCATGGCTACAGATGTGAGTGCTACAGGTCGGTAGTCATTTAGGCAGGTTATCTTAGTGTTCTTGGGCACAGGGACTATGGTGGTCTGCTTGAAACATGTTGGTATTACAGACTCAGTCAGGGACATGTTGAAAATGTCAGTGAAGACACTTGCCAGTTAGTCAGCGCATGCTCGGAGTACACTTCCTGGTAATCCGTCTGGCGCTGTGGCCTTGTGAATGTTGACCTGCTTAAATGTCTTACTCACATCGGCTACGGAGAGCATGATCACATATTCATCCGGAACAGCTGATGCTCTCATGCATGCTTCAGTGTTGCTTGCATCGAAGCGAGCATAGAAGTGATTTAGCTCTTCTGGTAGGCTCATGTCACTGGGCAGCTCGTGGCTGTGCTTCCCTTTGTAGTCTGTAATAGTTTGCAAGCCCTGCCACATCTGACGAGCGTCAGAGCCGGTGTAGTACGATTCAATCTTAGTCCTGTATTGACTCTGCCTGTTTGATGGTTCGTCCGGGTTAGAGTCCCGCTCCTTGAAAGCGGCAGCTCTACCGTTTAGCTCAGTGCGGATGTTGCCTGTAATCCATGGCTTCTGTTTGGGGTACGTATGGTCAATGTGGAGACGACGTCATCGATGTGCTTATTGATGAAGCCAGTGACTGATCTGGTGTACTCCTCAATGCCATCGGAAGAATCCCGGAACATATTCCAGTCTGTGCTAGCAAAACAGTCCTGTAGCTTAGCATCTGCGTCATCTGACCACTTCCTTATTAAACTGAGACACTGGTGCTTCCTGCTTTAGTTTTTGCTAATAAGCAGGAATCAGGAGGATATAATTATGGTCAGATTTGCCAAATGGAGGGCGAGGGAGAGCTTTGTACGCGTCTCTGTGTGTGGAGTAAAGGTGATCTAGAGTTTTTTCCCCCTCTGATTGCACATTTAACATGCTGGTAGAAACATGCTGGTAGCTGTAAGTATAATGTATTACTAGGGTTATGGTTTTGGTTTGTGCTACAGCTCTATGTACAATGTATTACCAGTCTACGGTTAGGGTTGAGGCATGGGTTAGGGTTGAACCGGGGTGTGCACATGAAGTTAGGGTTAGGATGGACATTAGCCTGGCTGATGCGATCCATGTGGTACACAGCAGACTTGGAGGAGGACTTTGAGTTTGTGTCAGCCAAACTAGGTGGACATGGGACAAGAGGAAAGTTTGGAGAGATGGCAGATGACGGGGCATGGCTCAACCCTAATCCTAACTCTACACCTTCAAATAGAGGCTCCTCCACTCCACCTCTGAATTACCAATCCAATGGAGGCTGCTGAGGGGAGGATGACTCATAATAATGGCTGGAATGGAGTCAATGGAATGGTATCAAACACGTGGTTTACATGTGGTTGATACCATTCCATTGACTCCATTCCAACCATTATTATGAGCCGTCCTCCCCTCAGCAGCCTCTAGCCCTGTTTATATGTCTAGAGTACATTGTATGGATACTTAACATCAACCACTATTCCATTATGAATGTGGGATATTTGTAACATCAACCTATTAATACTGGTTATCACAATTACCAAAGCCACACAGTCAAAATGGGCTATATCTGAAAAATTAATAAAAGCAAAAATGTGCTTTTAGTTCTTAATTTAAAGTTAGGCATAAAGTAAGCAGTGTGGTTAGGGTTATTCGGATATGCTTAACACCCCGGCCATCCTACAATCCAAACTAGATGCCCTCAATCTCACACAAATTATAAACGAACCTACCAGGTACAACCCTAAATCCGTAAACATGGGTACCCTCATAGATATCATCTTGACTAACTATGTCTTCAACCAAGATCTCAGCGATCACTGCCTTATTGCCTGCGTCCGTAACGGGTCCGCGGTCAAACGACCACCCCTCATCACTGTCAAACGCTCCCTAAAACACTTCAGCGAGCAGGCCTTCCTAATTGACCTGGCCCAGGTATCCTGGATGGATATAGATCTCATTCCGTCAGTAGAGGATGCCTGGTTGTTCTTTAAAAGTAATTTCCTCTCAATCTTAAATAAACATGCCCCATTCAAAAAATACAGAACTAAGAACAGATATAGCCCCTGGTTCTCCTCTGACTTGACTGCCCTTGACCAGCACAAAAACATCCTGTGGCGTACTGCATTAGCATCAAATAGCCCCCGCGATATGCAACTTTTCAGGGAAGTTAGGAACCAATATACACAAGCAGTTAGGAAAGCAAAGGCTAACTTTTTCAAACAGAAATTTGCATCCTGTAGCACTAACTCCAAAACATTTTGGGACACTGTAAAGTCCATGGAGAATAAGAGCACTTCCTCCCAGCTGCCCACTGCACTGAGGCTAGGAAACACTATCACCACCGATAAATCTACAATAATCGAGAATTTCAACAAGCATTTTGCTACGCCCCCCCCCCCCCCCCCCCCCCCCCCCCCCCCCCATTTTGCTACGGAGGGCCTGTTGTCTGGACCTATGGCAGTCTCTATGGGGGTGCCACGGGGTTCAATTCTTGGGCTGACTCTTTTCTCTGTGTATATCAATGATGTCGCTCTTGCTGCTGGTGACTCTCAGATCCACCTCTACGCAGACGACACCATTTTGTATACATTTGGCCCTTCATTGGACACTGTGTTAACAAACCTCCAAATGAGCTTCAATGCCATACAACACCATAAACACTAGTAAAACTAAATGCATGCTCTTCAATCGAACGCTGCTGGCACCCGCCCACCCGACTAGAATCACTGCTCTCGACGGGTCTGACCTAGAGTATGTGGACAACTACAAATACCTAGGTGTCTGGTAAGTAAGCATTTCACTGTAATGTCTGCACCTGTTGTATTCGGCGCATGTGACCAATAAAATTTGATTTGATTTGAGACTGTAAACTCTCCTTCCAGACTCACATTAAGAATCTCCAATCCAAAATTAAATCTAGAATCGGTTTCCTATTTCGCAACAAAGCCTCCTTCACTCATGCTGCCAAACATGCCCTCGTAAAACTGACTATCCTACCGATCCTTGACTTCGGCGATGTCATTTACAAAATAGCCTCCAACACTCTACTCAGCAAATTGGATGTAGTGTATCACAGTGCCATCCGTTTTGTCTCCAAAGCCCCATATACTACCCACCACTGAGACCTGTACGCTCTTGTTGGCTGGTCCTCACTACATATTCGTCGCCAAACCCACTGGCTCCAGGCCATCTATAAATCACTGCTAGGCAAATCCCCGCCTTATTTTAGCTCATTGGTCACCATAGCAACACCCACCCGTAGTATGCGCTCCAGCAGGTATATCTCACTGGTCATCCCCAAAGCCAACACCTCCTTTGGCCGCCATTCCTTCCAGTTCTCTGCTGCCAATGACTGGAACAAATTGCAAAAATCTCTGAAGCTGGAGACTCTTATCTCCCTCACTAACTTTAAGCATCAGTTGTCAGAGCACCTTACCGATCACTGCACCTGTACACAGCCCATCTGAAATTAGCCCACCCAACTACCTCATCCCTATATTGTTATTGTGGTCCTCTGTAGCTCAGCTGGTAGAGCACGGCGCTTGTAACGCCAAGGTAGGGGGTTCGATCCCCGGGACCACCTATACACAAAAATGTATGCACGCATGACTGTAAGTCGCTTTGGATAAAAGCGTCTGCTAAATGGCATATTATTATTATTTATTTTGCTCATTTGCACCCCAGTATCTCTATTTGCACATCATCTCTTGGACATCTATCATTCCAGTGTTAATACTATTTGTAATTATTTTGCACTATAGCCTATTTATTGCCTTACCTCCATAACTTGCTACATTTGCACACACTGTATATATATTTTCTGTTGTATTTTTGACTTTATGTTTTGTTTTACCCCATATGTAACTCTGTGTTGTTGTTTATATCGCACTGCTTTGCTTTATCTTGGCCAGGTCGCAGTTGTAAATGAGAACTTGTTCTCAACTGGCTTACCTGGTTAAATAAAGGTGAAATATATAAAAATCAAAAATGGCTTTGTTGCTATGGTAACTGGTGACGGTCATGTAACGTCAACCTATGAATGCTAGAAAACGGACATTTCCTTTGTTCTAAAGCACTTCCTTTCTAACAGCAGAGGTCACTGTAGCGCCAGGTTAACATGTATATGTTAATGAGGTTATTTTGAATAAAGCTTTGGATTTGAAAGACGCGTGGGTGTTTGTTATTAGTTCGTCGTTTGTTGTTGTCAGAGCAAGCGTAGAAAAGAAGTAGCCTTACGTCGCCAGATATTGTTTTGATACCCAGGCATCTAACGTTAGCTTAATTTTTGTATAATTATTGTCGTTACGGGTATCGAATAATCCCTGGATACAATGGCAGAAAGCGACTGGGACACCGTTACTGTCTTGAGGAAGAAGGGTCCGACTGCTGCGCAGGCCAAATCTAAGCAGGTAGCTAGCTGCTAGCTAGAGCAGCTAGCATTAGCCACTTAGCATGTGAACCTGAGAAACAACTCGTGATATATTGTAAAGAAATATGCGGTTTAATCCAACCACTGAGCCCATGTAGGCTGCACACTGTCACTGGCAGGGAAGCTTGCTAATAAATCCCGGGGATTTGATTGAGACCTCGCCTCTCCCTGGCGTTTCCTGCTCGGTAAAACGGTCGACGTGGACAGAAATAGCGACTATGTGGGTTGGCGTCTAATCATTTGACTGACGTCGATGAATTTGACTTTTATCAAACATTTTCAGCGTTTTCGTAGCCTGTGTTTGGATTCTGTGTTGGATCAGCCCCCCTGGCCTGGTCTACTCGTCAGCTATACCATTTAGCTAAATATATCCCTGTGTTATGGAACGATGTAGAGTAAATTTGAATAATGTGGCATGTTTTGTCTAGGCTATCACAGCTGCACAGAGACGTGGAGAAGACCTCGAGACTACTAAGAAATGTGAGCCTTATTCTATATAGCAATAAATGCAAGGTGCAATCCACCAACTCCCCTACTGGGAAGTCTGGGACATGATGGATTTTATATATTAAATTATGTTATGGCATGTTTATACTAACCATGCCAATTAATGTCTCCACAGGGTCTGCAGGGCAGAACAAGCAGCACCTGATGACCAAGAACACAGCCAAGCTGGACCGTGAGACGGAGGAGCTGCAGCACCAGCGGGTCTCCCTGGAGGTGGGCAAGGTCATCCAGCAGGGCCGCCAGAACAAGGGCCTCACCCAGAAAGACCTGGCCACTGTGAGTAATGCTGCCGCAAACCCATATGACTCATTAAGACATTGGTGCATTTCTGTGGCTTCCTCGTCTCCTCTGCACCTGCACTCATCTGAACACAGGGTAGGTGAAAATTATGTCCAATACTTTCACATAAATACATGAGGATGCGAGGAGAGAAGGACACTTTCGAGAGGCCTCCAATGTATGTATGTATGTTTGCTCCCGAGTGGCGCAGCGGTCTAAGGCACTGCATCTCAGTGCTAGAGGCGTCATTACAGACCCTGGTTCGATTCCAGGCTGTATCACAATCCGGCCGTGATTGGGAGTCCCATAGGGCGGCGCACAATTGGCCCAGCGTTGTCCGGGTTTGGCCGGGGTAGGCCGCCATTGTAAATAAGAATTTGTTCTTAACTGACTTGCCTAGTTAAATAAATAAATGTATAGCATAAAAGAGATGGCCTCAGTGATGATTGACATTTTAACAGTTTGACTTTCGCATTCGGAAAGTATTCAGACCCCTTCCCTTTTTCAAATTTTGTTACATTACAGCCTTATTCTAAAATGGGTTAAATATTTTTTTCCCCTGATCAATCTACACACAATACCCCATAATGACACAGTGAAAGCAGGTTTTGAGAAATTTTTGCAAATTTATTAAAAGTAAAAAACGGGTACCTTATTTACATAAGTATTCAGACCCTTTGCAATGAGACTTGAAATTGAGCTCAGGTGCATCCTGTTTCCATTGATCATCCTTGAGATGTTTCTACAACTTGATTGGAGTCCACTTGTGGTAAATTCAATTGATTCGATATGATTTGGAAAGGCACACACCTGTCTATAGAAGGTCCCACAGTTGACAGTGCATGTCAGAGCAAAAACCAAGCCATGAGGTCGAAGGAATTGTCTGTAGAGCTCCGAGACAGGATTGTGTCGAGGCACAGGTCTGGGGAAGGGTACCACATTTTTTTTGCAGCATTGAAGGTCCCCAAAAACACAGTGGCCTTCATCATGCTTAAATGGAAGAAGTAAGGAACCACCAAGACTCTTCCTAGAGCTGGCAAACTGAGTAATCGGGGGAGAGGGGCCTTGGTCAGGGAGGTGACCAAGAACCCGATGGTCACTCTGACAGAGCTCTGGAGTTCCTCTGTGGAGATGGGAGAACCTTCCAGAAGGATGACCATCTCTGTAGCACTCTACCAATCAGGCCTTTATGGTAGAGTGGCCAGACAGAAGCCACTCTTCAGTAAAAGGCACATGACAGCCTGCTTGGAGTTTGCCAAAAGGCACCTAAAGAACTCTCAGACCATGAGAACAAGGTTCTCTGGTCTGATGAAGCCAAGGTTGAACTCTTTGGAAAAGGAAACCTGGCACCATCCCTACGGCGAAGCAAGGTGGTGGTGGCAGCAGCATGCTGTGGGGATATTTTTCAGCGGCAGGGACTGGGAGACTTGTCAGGATCGAGGGAAAGATAAACGAAGCAAAGTACAGAGATCCTGTACGCTCCAGAGCACTCAGGACTTCAGACTGGGGCGAAGGTTCACCTTCCAACAGGACAATGACCCTAAGCTCACAGCCGCAGGAGTGGCTTCGGGAAAAGTCTCTGAATGTCCTTGAGTGGCCCAGCCAGAGCCCAGACTTGAACCCGATCTAACGTCTCTGAAGAGACCTGAAAATTGCTGTGCAGCGACGCTCCCCATCCAACCTGACAGAGCTTGAGAGGATCTGCAGAGAAGAATGGGAGAAACTCCCCAAATACAGGTGCGCCAAGCTTGTAGCGTCCTACCGAAGAAGACTTGAGGCTGTAATCGCTGCCAAAGGTGCTTCAACAAAGTACTGAGTAAAGGGTCTGAATACTTATGTAAATGTGATATTTTGTTTTTTATACATTTGCAAAAATGTCTAAACCTGTTTTTGCTTTGTCATTATGGGGTATTGTGTGTAGATTGGGGGGGGGCAACAATTTGAATCAATTTGAGAATAAGGCTGTAACAAAATGTGGAAAAAGTCAATTGGTCTGAATACTTTCCGAATGCACTGTAGGTCTAAATAGCATCACATTTTCAGGCCACAGATTTTTACTGACATCTCTTTGGCTTTCACTTTCAGAAAATCAATGAGAAGCCTCAGGTCATTGCAGATTATGAGTGTGGGAAAGCAATTCCCAACAATCAGGTCATGGGCAAGATTGAGAGAGCAATCGGTGAGTGGAATCTGGGACAGACTGTCACACTGACATTTTTCATAATCAACCCCAATGTTTAATCAGGTCTGAGTAGTAGGCCACCTTATTAATCTAGACTTGACCATTGGTATTTTTTTTTGTGTCTGACATCACAACTTTTTGTTCTCAGGTTTGAAACTGCGCGGGAAAGATATTGGACTGCCCCTGGAGGCAAAACCCAAGAAGAAATGAGGACAAAGCCTCGAAATCAGCCCCCCCCCCCCCCCTTACCCATGTCCCCCATCTCTATCCCCACCTTCCTACTCCCGCAATGACTCTGCCTCCCTCACCCTTCCAACCACCCCTCTCTCTTCTCCACCCCCCTCCTCTACCTGGGCTGATCTCCACCTGTCCTGCTACAGGACCTGGTGATCCACCACGTTACAAGTTGCATATACTGACAAATCATCACAGAAGACTTATAAACAATGCAAACATTTCAAACCAAAAGTGCTGTGAAATGTATACTTTTTTTTTTTTGTTCGCTACTGCTTTGGCATGAACTTATTTTTAGATGGTTGAAACAGACAAGGTGAATTTTACCATGGCAATGTGCATTGATTTGACTTTTTCTCGGAGCATGTTCTTTATCCATTTCGTAAGTGCTTGATTGCGGCCTTTTCACACATTGTATATTGGGTCATTACAATATGAACATGTCCTCCTGCTGTAGCTTGGTTTTGATCTTCAAATAAAGTTTGACAGTTTACTTTTGTGTCATCTGGTGGTTATTTTGAAGAAAACAACACATTCTATCTTTAGTTTTACATTAGAGAAGGCCTTGAAGTAAGATATTCTGGTGTGCTAGATTGTTACTAGCAGTAATAAAAGCAGTCTGACACTTTGGCCCTGTACTCTCAGGTTGTACAATTGATGTACAACTCATTTGATACAACAAATATTTTTGAGTTTGTCTGCACAAAAGCGCTATGCCAAGTAAAGGGAAGTGAAACTATTTATGTGGGTGAGTTATGAGTAGGGCCATGAGTTGTTTTGTGGGTTAGAGGCAAAATGTAGCCCGCTCACTTGACCCAGTTCCTGATCAATTATTTTTCTACTTCCAGCCCATTGTAAAATATGAATGACATTTGTCAAAACTATTAAAGTGCACAGAATTGGAAAGATATGTTAATTCTCATCCAATGTTGAAGGTGCTCAATACTTGTCCAATACTGCTCCTTGAGGGTGCTGTTCCAAGATATGCGTTGACATGTTTTCTTAAGGCATAGCCTACAATTGGTTTTGGCCTAGGGCTCAATTACATCAGATCAGCTTTAGCCAACATGCATAGCGGTTGTTTTGGAGGTGGAACTGCATTAGAGCTGTCACAAGTGGCTCCCCACATTATACCTAAAGCGGACATTGCCATTGGCTGCACAGAGTCGCATTAACAGAAATCGCATGCAGCCTTGTTTACAAGTTTGAACACTGGAACATGATGTAATCTACACCTTGATTAGGATGATCTTTCATGATTTTTCCATTTGAGTGTAATTATTTCTATATAGCCTACACTTTCTCGTTCTGAACTTCTAAGGCGGGTGTGGCTTCATGACAATGATTGCAAGAGCAGCTGCTCACCGATTTGATGGTTTTAACTCAGTTCCACCTAGACACCGCCAAAACATCCACTATGCTGGTGTCTGCTATGGCTGGTTAAACTGAAGCGTTACAGATTCGGTGTAAAGGTAATTTCCAATTAAGCCGACATAAGCAGTTTACCGTGAGCTTACCAGTCTCTGCTAAAGCGGGAACATTGCCTTTAAATTTCAATCACGCTGTAAAGCTGAACTTCCGCGATGCAGATTGAATAGAGCCCTTAAAGTGGCAATCAGCAGAAGAAACAATGACAAAGCGACCTCAACTGTTGGGTACCACAGTTGAATTAAGCTCATGAGGCATTTATAAGTTATATTCTTTAAGAATCAATGGGTACATATCATTAATTTATTAGTCCAAAAATTGATGTAGCAACTGCTGATTGCCCCTTTAATCTAGACCTTAATTAGTTTAATTTCACATTGTTAGATTTTATGTTGTGCCTAAAGAAAGGCCAATATCGATATTGTATCTTGCTCTGTGACCTGGTAACTGAGCCTACTTTGGCTTAGGTTGCTTATAATGCCACAGTCCTTGATTTGTTTTTTAGCCAAACGGCAGCCCTGCCAGTGCCACTCTATAATGCAGAGGGATGGGGTCCTAGACAGTAGGCCCCTAAAACTCAACTCTGGACAATTTTTTCATTGTTCCGCTGTAATCAGGGACTGATTTAGACTGGGACATCAGGTGGGTTGCAATTAATTATCAGGTAGAACAGAAATCCAGCAGGCTCTGGACCTCGTAGGGTAAGAGTTAGTGGAGGCTGGTGGAGAAGTGCTCAATACTTGTCCAATACTGCTCCTTGAGGGTGCTGTTCCAAGATATGCGTTTAAATTTTTTCTTAAGGCATAGCCTACAATTGGTTTTGGCCTACATCAGATCAGCTTTAGCCAACATCTTCATACCGGTTGTTTTGGAGGTGGAACTGCATTAGAGCTGTCAAATCCACAAGTGTCCCCACATTATATCTGGTGGGTGCAATTAATTATCAGGTAGAACAGAAAACCACTATATATTCGTCGCCAATCCCACTGGCTCCAGGTCATCTATAAATCTCTGCTAGGCAAATCCCTGCCTCATTTTAGCTCATTGGTCACCATAGCAACACCCACCCGTAGTATGCGCTCCAGCAGGTATATCGCACTGGTCATCCCCAAAGCCAACACCTCCTTTGGCCGCCATTCCTTCCAGTTTTTCTGCTGCTAATGAGTGGAACGAACTGCAAAAATGTCTGAAGCTGGAGACTCTTATCTCCCTCACTAACTTTAAGCATCAGTTGTCAGAGCAGCTTACCGATCACTGCACCTGTACACAGCCCCCCCAACTACCTCATCCCCATATTATTATTTATTTTGCTCATTTGCACCCCAGTATCTCTATTTGCACATCATCTTCTGCACATCTATCACTCCAGTGTTAATAATAAATTGTAATTATTTTTCACTATGGCTTATTTATTTATTGCCTTACCTCCATAACTTACTACATTTGCACACACTGTATATAGATTTTCTATTGTGTTATTGACTGTATGTTTTGTTTATCCCATGTGTAACTCTGTGTTGTTGTTGTTTTTATCACACTGCTTTGCTTTATCTTGGCCAGGTCGCAGTTGTAAATGAGAACTTGTTCTCAAATGGCCTACCTGGTTAAATAAAGGTGAAATAAAAAATAATAATAATAAGGCTCTGGACCTCATAGGGTAAGAGTCAGTGGAGGCTGCTGGGAGGAGCTATAAGAGGACGGGCTCATTGTAATAAATGGAACGGCGTAAACGTGGTTTCCGTATGTTTGATAGCGTTCCGTTGATTCCATTCCAGCCATTACAATGAGCCCGCCCTCCTATAACTCCTCCCACCATTCTCCACTGGTAAGAGTTGAATACCTGTCTAACAGTGTTACTTCGTCCCTCTCCTCGGCCCAACCTGGGTTTGAACCAGGGACCCTCTACACACACCCTCAAAGTATCTTTACCTATCGCTCCACAAAAGCTGCAGTCCTTGCAGAGCAAGGGCAACAACTACTCCAAGGTCTTAGAGCGAGTGACTTCACCGATTGAAATGCTACTACCGCGCACCGCTAACTAGCTAGCAATTTCACACCGTTTACACCTACGTAGGCTATAGATAGCAAAAGTAATGGCGTTTTTCTGTAGGCACCAACTCCGCCATGGTTCGTTGGACAAAGCTTATGTGAAAATTGAGTTTTTGTAGGGTTTTTGGATAAACGCCGAAAATAAGGTCTGTGGTAAACACAGGCTTAGGAGATCTTATATATTTTGTTCTATGAGAACCTTCATCAGCTAGTGTCACTTTTTGTGAATTTATGAGCATTTATGTAATAAAAAAAGCACATAAAGGCTTCATAATTCATAAAGGTCATCTTAACTGACTGATAGTATCTAATAGAACAAAACGTATAAGATATCCTAAGCCTGTGTTAACCTTAGACCTTATTTTCGGAATTTATCCCCAAACACTATTCTTTCAACATTAATTTTCCCCATAGGAATGGCTGAATGAACCAGAGGTATCTAATTTCCGGTTTTTAGGACTACAAACTGGCAAGCTATTTTCCCATGAGGCATTTATAAGCCGTTGTAAGCGGTATATGCCTATGCCATCGTATGGTAGGCCATTGAACAGCGGTAAATATTGCTCATTGTACTAACCAAAATGTCTACTTTTATTATGCTTGATTTATTATTTACAAAGAAACGTATTTCCCAAATTCCCCAAGCTACTTGAGAGAGAAACCTGGATGAGATGTTTCACTGACCACAAATTGTCACTCAATCAATTGAAGGGCTGAATGTAGAACAAGAAGTAGTTAACCATTTCAAGCTGAAATTCAACAAATAAACCTTTTATTTTGAAGTTAAATATATATTTAAAATATTTATTAGATAGAGGGAGGCTGACCGGACACCCTTGATTTACACACAAAATATTTGATTATTTCAACACATTGGAGTGGGGGATGAGGGGTCCATATACAAATACTAAACCCAATAGAATACAACGAACAGCAGTAGCAAAAACTGGATTCTAAAGCTCCGTACAATGGTAGATTGCCCTCTGTAAACCCAACTGAGCCCTGCGAATCACATGTCCAGTCCACATAACATAACATGCCATTTAGCAGACGCTTTTATCCAAAGCGACTTAGTCATGTGTGCATACATTTTTACGTATGGGTGGTCCCGGGGATCAAACCCACTACCCTGGCGTTACAAGCGCCATGCTCTACCAATTGAGCTACAGAGGACCACACATCAAGTCAACTTCTACAGAGGGATCATAGGTCAACCAATAGCTTCCACTGAAGAGATGGGTGCTGGTGCCACAACAGACAAAAAACACAAATTCCCTGGAAGTGACAGCATCAATGCGATACCTCACCAGTCATCATTGAAGGGATGCATGTCCACTAGTTGACAGCTGACTGATGATCTCTTCAGTGAAGTATCAGGGAACCTCGTAGAAGTCAACATTTCTGGCCATATATAATTCCCAATATATATTTATTTGCATACCAGTATACAGTTTGTTTTATAGGAACTCTAGGTTCAGTCTGAAATTGCCCTTAACTCACACATTTTCATGTGCCAAAAATGCATTTAATCTCATTTGAGAAAGATTTCACTAACACCTGTAGCTGAGCCCTTATTCACTCAGATGGAAACAACTGCTTCCATACAACGTTGTATGGCTGGATAGTGTACTGTACGTACTCTCCCTCATTAGCTGTCCATGCAATAGTACAGTATAGCTCTACAGTGTGTTCCTGGTAGAACTTGACAGTATCCTGCATAGTGCATCCAAGTCCTCTCTCTCAGGTTCTCCTCCCTTGGTTCTGCTTTCGGTTGCCCACTCCGTTCCCGTCACTGTATGACACACAGCTCAGTACTGTCCTGATTACGTGGATCTCCGGTCCTGTCTAGGTGTTCCTCAATGTGGCGTGTGTCGTAGACCCCCTCTGGGCCCCTCTCCTGCACCTCCTCTGGGGGCAGCAGACTCTGTCTCAGCTCCATCAGCAGGTCCCGTCCCTCGCTGGACGGCAGGTTGCCCAGGTAGTACAGAGGGGCCAGCTCCACCAACCTACACAGGAAACAGTAAGAGGCCAAGGTTACCAAAGTAGGTTATCAAAGTAATGCACTTAAATGCCTAGTTTACCTCAATGTAATGACATTGAGATTGCTATATCATATTGACCTGGTTCCAGAGAAGTTTAATGCTTCTTGTTGTGCGATCTGATCACTAAAGACAACCTGGTACGCACCACTATCTTCTGACAGATAGTACAGTTTACTGTTTATCAAAGGACTAGTATTCCAAAAGGAAGTAAAGACACCACTGTGGATGGCCCAAAGAAGTTCAGGGTTACTGTGTACATTACACACTTACTATCTACATGGATTTGCTCAACAACAAAAGTTCACAAAACATTTTGGGGTTACTCACATGTGGGGGTGCACCTCGGAGGCAGTGCGGATGCAGTTGTCGTGGGAGATGGTGAATTCGTGGTAGAGCACCCAGGAGGGGGGGTTGAGGCGCGGCCGGCGACACAGGTAGGAGGAGAAGGGGTGGAGGTGAGCCACGTGACGGTGAGTCAACAGGAGGTAGTTACCTGAGCCATCCACATCATGAGCCACCTGAGAAAGAGAGGAGGGGGGGAAGGGAGAAGAGGAAATCCAATGAGATAGGGAGAAACAAATACAGAAAGAACAGGAGAGACCGAGAGAAAGAGAGGGGGAAGAGGAAGGGGCAAAAGACAGAGAGAGAGGAGAATGTGAACATTTAGAAAGACAGTAAGGGAAAGACAAAAAGAGGAGGAAGAAATAGGGGGAGGATAGAGAGAAGGGTTAGGGTCTATATATTTCCCAGGCAAATGTTAGACACAAACAAACTAAATTACATCTTAAATGGAGAAGTGGACTGATGAGTCCTTTTACCTTGAGGAAGAACCCTGAGATGAGCGCACGCTTGATATTAGTGCAGTTATCTTGGCAACCAAAGGATGGAGGCGAGACGGGCAACTCTATTCGCTGCATCACCTCCAGCAGCTCCGCCCTGATCACCACAGCCAATCGTAATGCGGCGGGGTTCAGGAAGTTGGTAGTACACCAGGCATCATCCTCATTGTCTAAAATATGAATCAGAGAAACACACATTCAATATTCAAGGAATAGAGGTTGTGTGAAATGCATGTCTGTTTCATGCCTATATGTGTATATCTATGAGTGTGGGTGTGGTATATAGTCTCACGCTGTATATAGGCATTGTAGATGTTGATGAGGGTGAGGTGGTCTCCCTCGTTGTGCAACACGGGGCGTCTGTGAGTGGCTGCTGCCTCCTCTCTCTGGGGTGTGGGGGTCACAAAGCAGGGGGGAGCTGGGAACACACGCAGGTGGATAATTTCAATGAATGACTGTTCAAAAACTTAAGTCTAAGTTATAGAAACAAAACAAAGCACTATTCTGTAATGCATGTAAAAAAGGGTTATTAAAGGCTCATTTTACAGCCAGTAATAAGCCCCTTGGCCAGTGTATGTGTGTGCTGTGTGTACCTGTGAGCATGGCAGCGATGGTGAGCAGCTCGTTGACACAGTCGAACTCGCAGGCAGCGATGAGGGCCTTGGCCAGCGGGGGCTCCAGGGGCAGCTCTGACATAATGATGCCCACCTCAGATAGGTTCCCATCATCATCCAGCGCTGCCAGATAGTCCAGGTCCTCTAGAGCCTGCATCAGAGCCTCGGGAGCTGTGGGAGGGCGAGGGAGGGAGAGAGGAGGAGGAGAGAATAAAAAGAGAGAGTGAATAAAACGGAGAGGGATGGATTGAAGAAGGTGAGGGATATGGAAAGATCTTATATTTTGTCTGATATCACAAAATAGAAGGCACCTAGTAAAAACATGAATGTAACATGAATCCCATGAATGCAAGGCAGACCTGAGTTCAAATAGCTTTTTAAAATATCTCAATTACTTTTAAATACAAAGTAAGTATTCAGATATATTTTATTTGAAAAGATAAGCAGTTGAATATTTTAATGTATTTGGAAATACACTTGGAAAGTATTTGAAAATACTAAAATACACTGACTCAAATGCATTTAACCCAGGTATTAGAAAATAGTATTTGAAATAAGCATTTGAAAACACTTTCAAATACAATTTGGTAGACTATTTGGCTTTTACAAATAACCATTCAAATACTGAAATAAAAGTACTTGTTTTTGTGCAGTGTAATTGAAAATAGTCCAAAGTATTTTAAATACCAAATACTCAAATACACATGTATTTGAACCCAGGTCTGGTGCAAGGTGTACTTTATTATTTCAAAGGAAACAACATGGCCGAACTAGCTAGATGGCCCTCCTTACCAGGCCTGTCCAGGAACTTGCACTGGCCCATGTCAGCGATGTCCAGCCTCTTGAGCAGTAGCACCAGGTGGCTGAGGTTCTCCTCCACCACCCCCGGGCTGCGGGTCTCCGCCATGCCCTCCTCATACAGAGCCTGGGGGTACAGACGGAAACACAGACCTGGAGGGACAGGAGAGAGGGTTCAAAAGAATACACAGAGAGAAGAGAGTTGGCCTGAATAGCTATGTTACACCACAGTGCACTAAGTCTAATAATCACAACAGTCCATGATGATTTCTTACAACAGATTTGATTGACCTTAACCTACCTGGTAGGTCACTGTTTACCCTCTGCGTCCGCATGTCTGCCTGCTGCCGGCTGATTGGACGCAGGACCTGGGAGTCCGCTCTAATTTGAGGGTTGTAAACCTATGAGACGGAGACAGGAAGAGTGGGAGGTTATGCATGGCTCTGGGACTGGGTGCACCTCAATAGTCTATTGAGGTTATGCAGCATTGTGGCTATTGCCACATTTGACAATTGAGATGTGCCCACTGTGTAGGATAGTGCAACACATACTCCTCCTCCCTCCCATCTCTAATAAATGAGTACTCACTGTCTTGAGTTGCATGCCTGTGTCTATGACATAACGGACTCCAGATAGAGAGAAGGAGGCCTCCCCTAGGGTGTCTGTGAGGATGACCCTGCGCCTCGCTCCCGTCCCCACCCCTATCCCTGGCCCTTCCAGTCCTTCAGACCCCTTGGATCCCTCCGTGTCCCCAGAAAGCCCCTCTGGCTCGGCTTCATAGACACGCTGGGTTGCCCCTCCGAGGCCTGCGTGGAGGTGCAGAACTCTGAGGGTCCCCAGCTGAGGGCTCAGGGCCACAGACTCCTTCTCCAGCAGAGAGCCACACTCGTCTATCTCCTGAGAGAGAGGGAGGAGAGAGAAGAAAGGTTTGGGGATACCTATTGTTCTATCCTGGGCACTTTGTCGATCTCTTGAGAAATGTTATGTCCTGGCATTCTAAAAGTCGTCCAGCCATAAAAAAGTGAATAAGTGGACAAGTAGAGAGAGTAATTTCAATGAAATGAGAACATGCTATTTATGCTACCTACATGCAGTAAAATGTAGTGTGTACGGTACACATTGTTCCAAATGCATCCACTCTTTCCTCTCTCCACTCTGCCCCTCTAAGGCTATCAGTTTCTCCCTCCTTCTGGCAGCTGAGAGGAAGTGGCTATGCTAACCAGTTAAAGGGATTGCACATAGGGCACAGAGGGCATTTAAAGGGGAAGAGTGGAAGCAACTCCTTCTCATCTTTGCCCTTACCCCACCCACTGCCTCCTTGCCCTGCTAAAGTCTCCATATTTTGTAATGGCTTCTTCTACTTAAACTAGCTAGACCAATGGGTTTTCATTGTTTTAAAAAGTACAAAATAATCTATTTGAGCGTATTGGGACATAGCCTCTGTCCCTGTGCCCGTTCTCCTTCTCCTTTCTCATATATCTCCCCCACTCGCTCCCTCCCTCTTTGTTTCCCTCTCCCTAAACGCATAGTTTAGGTTGATCTGAATTGAGACTAGGCATCACCAGACAGTGCTTCTCTATGTCCTTGTTTACTCTGTTTACAGTGGCTCTTCTACTGAGCCTTAACCAGATCCATTCTCCTGGCTAGCTAGCTCTGTGTTTTGCAGCCTTGGCATCAACTACTGTACTGTACTAAAGTCCAGGTCTGCCTCAGGATTTGAAACCATATCCAGGAATTAGGCGAGGAGCTAGGGTGTGGTGATGTTGACATAGTGGGAGTGTGTGTGTAAGAGATGTGGATGTGAAAATGATGGGGCTCTGTGCTCTCTCTCTCTGCGCGCGAGCGTGTGTGTGTTCTGGATGCGTTAAACAGGACACCTGACACACCCTGATGCCATTCAGCAGTCTAAGGTTACAGTGTCCCTGTTTCTCTGTCCCCAGGGTGAGAGGCAACAACAGACAAGGAAGATGGCATTTACAAAACACAGCACAACAAAGCATTAAGAAATAACACAGTTCAATAGGGATTTACATGTAGAAGGAAGTCTAGCAGAAACTGACAAGAAGAGGTGGGATACAAAGGAAGGTCATTTAGCAGACACTTACATTTAACTCGTGGCCCGAGCGGGGATATCATTCCACAACTCTGCTGTTGCACGCACCCGATTTATCCTAACTAACCCGACCCAACGTAACCCACTGAGCCTTCTGAACCATTTCTCCGTTCCAGCAGTAGGACTACTGGGCATCTACTGTCTAATGATCTGATGCGGCTAAAAACAGCCCCAGTAGTTGATGAGATTAGCTGTATATATTTAGTATACTGTGTGTGTGTGTGTGCATCTACCTGGGCACTGGGGAGAAAGACCATGACATCCCCCTCCTCTCCCCTGCGGTGGAGATCCAACACCATGTAACACGCCGCTGCCGCCGACTCCCTCCCTCCAGGATCCCTGTACACCGTTTCCACGACAACCGGTGGTCTCCTCCTTGTCTCTGTCTCGGGTGTATCTCTGGCGGGCCGGTCCTCATCCGCGACAGGCTCATCCAGCGTTAGAAGCGGAACTCCCTCACCCAGGAAGGTGGCGAGGCTGGGGGCGAGGGAGGGGTCGGTGAGGAGGACCACGCGGAGGTCGTCGGGGCGCTGGCAGCACACATCCAGCAGCAAGCCCAGGAGGACGTCGGAGGGCACAGTGCGCTCCTGCACCTCATCCACCACCAGCACCCCATACTGACGCAGCAGGGGGTCCGACATCATCTCCCCCAGGAGCAGAGAGTCACTGACGAACCTGAGAGAGGGAGAGAGGAGAGAGAGGGTGAGAGAGGGATCAGGGAGAGAAATGACCCCCCCATCCCTTAATCCTATTGTCTTGCACTGTTATAAACCTCAGGGGGAGAGAAAGAGAGAGAAGGAAACAAGGACTACAATATTCTATTCCAGGTCGGGGGGAGCAGAAAGGAGGGTGGATAAACGTGCTAGAAGAAGATGAGTAAGAAACGTGCCGTCAGATTGGGTGATGTGTGTGTACCCAAGCTTGTACCTTTGTGCTATGTGTGTGTACATACACATGCGCCAATGTTCATGCACACCTGTGTGTCTACATCTCTCCTCACCTAAGTAGTGTATCGGGGGTACAGCCATTGTCGTGGGGGACCCAGTAGCCCACCTCCAGGCCCAGACTCAGGTCCATCTCATCAGCCACCCTGAGGGCCAGACTCCCTGCAGCCACAGCGTAGGGCTGGGAACAGCACACCAAGCCCTGAGAGAACTCATGGGACAGGGCATACTCCACACACCACTGGGGCACCTGGGAGAGAGAGGGTGAGGGAGAGAGAAAGAGGGAGACTGATATGCACACAAAGTGAGTGTGTATAGCGTGATAGTGATAGTTGCTTGAGTTTGTACAGTGGTCTGTCTTTCTGTCTGTCTTCAGTGTCTGAATATTGTGTACGTTTGGAGGGTCCCTAGCCATGTGTGTGTACTCTATATCTACCTGTATGTTTGGCATGTTTCCCCACCTTCTTTGCTCTCTCTGGGCACTTCATCACCAGTGCTAATGTGTGTGCCTATACCGGCGTGCATGTTTGTACGTACTTTGCATGCCTCTTACCTGTGTGCTCTTGCCCGTGCCACTGGGGGCACTGACCACCACCATGCTGTGTGTTTCCAGGTGCTCCAGCAGGCGGTACTTGAGGCTCCACATGGGAAGCGTTTTCCTCTCCTCCAGCAGAGAGTAGTAGCGTGACGAGAAGGGCAAGCCATCGTATGGGTTCACCTCCAGGTCCCCCAGGCCCCCCTCCTCCCCCCCCTCATCCTCTAGGTCCCCGGAGAGTAGAGAGGACATGGAGAGAGAGTCCAGGGCGGAGGAGGGGCGGAGGGTGGGGGGAGACGTTGTCAAGGGGGTGACCGCGGAGGGTGACGACATCATCACAGGGTGGGTTGGGAAGAGGTTAGGGGGATGGGGAAAGGGGAAAGGGGATGGTAACAGAGTGACTGTAGATTACCTGGGAATAGGATCAGAGAAGAGATGCTGTTGTGTTGAAAGTTATCGAGCAGATTTTTGAGTTCACCCAACTTAGTTGACCCCTTTTGCTGCTTGAGGCTAGGGACCTGGTTTTAAACTTGAGTCATCAAAGGAAATGTAATCTATATCATATGTTATTTCAAAAATATGATGTATGATTCTGAGAGAGAAAGTTTGATGTAGTGTAAGAAGCCTCAAACCTTTCACAGGGGTAAGGGCAATGTCAACCTTGACTAGCTACGTATTCTGTAACAGTTGTGCTATACAGAGTGCATAGTTGCTAGTGTAGTCAGTGCCTTCAGGAAGTCAGACAGCTTCAGTGAGACACCACAGAGAAGCTGTAGCTCTGTACAGCAGCTGTGGGCCTGTGCTATTCCATTCACTCCTGGAATGTCTGCATTTGCCCAGTAGGCATGAAGCAATACACACAAGAGCATTCTCACACACACACACAAGACAGACAGACAGACACAGACTTGCACTTACTGACACAGACACATGTAATCACTCATGGTTAACACCCACTTCTCTTTGTTAAAACGATCAGTGACACTGATATGCAAACATTACAAACCGAGTCAATGCATAAAATTAGTCAGCTTGGGTAGATTTTGTAATGGGTACACCTCAATTGATAGGTCAACAAACAGAAGTGGCAAATGAGTTGGCCTAGATACACTATATATATACAAAAGTATGTGGACACCCCTTCAAATTAGTGGATTCGGCTATTTCAGCCACACCCGTTGTTGACACACACACCCATGCAATCTCCATAGACAAACATTGCTCAGTGACTTTCAATGTGGCACCATTATAACCTTTACAACAAGTCAGTTTGCCAAATTTCTGCCCTGCTAAAGCTGCCCCAGTCAACTGTAAGTGCTGTTATTGTGAAGTGGAAACGTCTAGGAGCAGTGTTGTGTTCGAGACCATCTAAAGCGAGACTGATTCAAGACCAACACTGGAGGGGGGGTGAGACCGAGTCAAGACCAAGACCTAGAGGGAGACGGGGGTCCGAGACAGAGTCACATTAGCGCACGTTAGCTCAACCGTCCCATATATACGGGACACCGATCCCGTAGAGGTTAATAAGTTGTATACCTCCACTACACTACTTTGATACGCAACAGTAGGGATTAAGAAGTGAGTATACGCAATGCCCACTGAAAAACAAAGTGGGTATATGGCGTATACCTGCGTATAGCCTCCACTACACCACTGGCCCTTTGTGTTTTACAAAAAGTGCACTTTCCGCTGGTATTACAGTTGCTGTCCTTTCAGCATCACGAGCCTGTCACACACTGAAGGTCCAATAGGCTCGACACTGCACAAACATGTCTATAACAGATATAAATACTATTACAATTCCCCCCTGTCTCCCCTTACCAATAGTGAGTGCGCAGGTTTCCAACAATTTCCCCCACTCTTCCCTACCAGCGAGCGAGTCAAGTAAATACGGACAAAGTTTGCGGATATTTTTCAACGAAAGTAAAGGACAGTAATATTACGAGTAAAGTAGGAATCCCAGGTTTCAATAGGCGATAAAATATTAATGTTTCAAGAAAGGAGTGTATATATTTGGCCTGATGAAGCGGTTTTATGAGCTGACTGAATTCAAGCTGATAATTATACGTTTTTTACGCCGCTGGTCTCGGCGTAAAAGAGTCCTCACTGTCCGAGACCGAGACAAGACCGAGTAAAAGACACAGAGACAAGACAGACACACTCAATATGTGGTCTCGAGACCGGACTCGAGACCAAGACCGGTCTCAAGTACTACAACACTGTCTAGGAGCAACAACGGCTCAGCCGCGACGTGGTAGGCCACACAAGCTCGCAGAACGGGACCGCTGAATGATGAAATCGTCTGTCCTCGGTTACAACACTCCCCAGCTACAATAAATGCGGCGTCAGGATATGTGGTTTCCAGTTTGCACAAAGTCCAGTGTAGTTCCTTGAGGGCCGTCGTAGTATCGGCTTGAGGGGGAATATACACGGCTGTGACTAACTGAAGAGAATTCTCTTTGGAGGTAATACGGTCGGCATTTGATTTTGAGGTATTCTAGGTCGCGTGAACAAAAGGACTTGAGTTCCTGTACATTATCACAATCACACCATGAGTAGTTAATCATGAAAGATAAACCTACTCCTTTCTTCTTCCCGGAGATGTCTTTATTCCTGTCTGCGCAATGTACAAAGAACCCAGCTGGCTGTATGGATGGGGACAGTATATCCGGAGAGAGCCATGATTCCGTGAAACAGAGTATGTCCTCGCCCTGAGCTTGTCTACTTTATTGTCCAGGGACTGAACATTAGCGAGTAATATACTCGGAAGCAGTGGATGGTGTGCAAGCCTCCTGAGTCGGACTAGAAGTCCACTCCGAATACCTCTTCTCCCCCGGCGGCATTTTGGAGAAGCCTCTGGGATAAGTTAAATTGCATTGGGGGCTACGAACAAAGGATCCAAATCGGGAAAGTCGTATTTCTGGTCAGAATGCTGGTGAGTTACCGCCCCTCTGATATCCAAAAGTTATTTCCGGCTGTATGTAATAACACAAAAAAAGATTATGGGCTAATAATGTAAGAAATAACAAACAAAAAAAGATATAATACAGCTAAGTTGCTTAGGAGCTAGAAGCAGAGCTGCCATGTCTGTCGGCGCCAGCTTCACCATCTGGCAGTCCAACGGACTAATCTGGGTTTGGCAGATGCCAGGAGAATGCTACCTGCCCCAATGCATAGTGCCAACTGTAAAGTTTGGTGGAGGGGGAATAATGGTCTGGGGCTGTTATTCATGGTTCGGGCTAGGCCCCTTAGTTCCAGTGAAGGGAAATCTTAATGCTACAGCATACAATGACATTCTAGACGATTCTGTGCTTCCAACTTTGTGGCAATAATTTGGGGAAGGCCCTTTCCTGTTTCAGCATGACAATGTCCCTGTGCACAAAGCGAGGTCCATACAGAAATGGTTTGTCGAGATCGGTGTGGAAGAACTTGACTGGCCTGCACAGAGCCCTGACCTCAACCACATCGAACACCTTTGGGATGAACTGGAATGCCGACTGCGAGCCAGGCCTAATAGCCCAACATCAGTTCCCAACCTCACTAATCCTCTGGTGGCTGAATGGAAGCAAGTCCCCGCAGCAATGTTCCAACATCTAGTGGAAAGCCTTCCCAGAAGAGTGGAGGCTATTATAGCAGCGAAGGGGGGGGATCAACTCCATATTAATGCCCATGATTTTGGAATGAGATGCTGGACGAGCAGGTGTCCACATACACTACATGACCAAAGGTATCTTCTGATCCATGGTGACCTGCAACTCGCCTGCTTGACACTTGCCTATGTTTAATGAGCACACTGACATAGGCCTGCATACAAAAACAAAGCATACACAGGGCTAATATGGGCTATGGGGAAAACATTAAAGCTCATCTCATGGGGGGGGGGGGGGGGGGGATTGGTGATGTTCAACATCATGTGTGAATCACGTGGGAGGGGTCTAACGTCAGCTTGGGGCTTACAGTAGACAATAAGAAAGAGCATTGGATGCATGACATCACATGTTGTAACCATGTTATAACGTTAGCAAACAATGACTAGTCCTATTTTTTTTAAATCTATTATTTACTATCATGTAAACAAAATCATTGTAATATTGGTATGTAGCCGATTTGGCATTATGTTAAAATGCATCACAACTGTATGGCCATGACAATAGATAAGACTGTTCTTTATACTGCTTTTGGTAATGAGAAACTACGGATGACGACACCAGTACAAGTCATCCCACAATAACTCCCCCTGCCTTCGCTCTCTTCTTTCCTTATATGCATCCTTTCCTGCCCACCTCGACTCCAGTAGGCCTATATCGACCAGCCAGGAACTACTTGTCAGCTGACAGTCACACACGCACGATAGGAGGGAAATATAATGAAGACAACTGGGAGACGAAAACAACCACAGAACCCCGTAGACAAATATCATTGACATCTTACCTCCGACACATTTCTCTGTAGTCTCCTAAAATCCCAACCAAGGCTCGGGATATCCAGCAAAACAATATAACCCGCTGCGCTGTCAGTGAAGCGTTCTACTGCTCACTGTTGTTGCACACAAACTCGTTTGACATTTCTTGGAAGAGACAATATGCGGATACAATGTTTCATTTTTTGCCACTATTCACAGATTCTCTCTTCGGTTCTTCTCGGCCTCTAGTTTCTCCGTAACTGTTGACATTAATTAATAAAATAGAGCTCTATCGATTCGCTTGCCTGGCTACGCAAACTCCTTGCTCCGGCCAAACGCTTCGCCACGCCCACGGACGTTAGTTTCTGAGGTATGTAGTGAACATAGAGCCACATAGTTTCTAAACCCAGAGGCGCAATATCGCAAGACTTCCGGGAACGCTTGAGAAACAGACCAAACAGGCCGGGGTTTGAGAAGTCAATGAGAGAAGTGAAAAGGTATTCCTTAGTTGTGAATTTTCTCATAATCTAAAAGGCACAACATAAATTCGAGTAAATGTCTTAAGTATTTGAGCTTGTTATTACTCCAACCTCGTGAGAGTGACAAACTGAGACGTTTTCATTTCCGACAAAAACAACTTTATATCGAAGGAATGCCTTTGATTTGACGGCTTGCACATGCGTAGTTTGGCCCGAGACGACCGTTAGACCCGATGACGTGTTTATAAGCAAGAGCTTAGCTAGCCAACGTCGCCATGACATCGCCTACAAGTGTGATCGGGGATTTCTATTGGAGAAGCAGTTTTAGCCTATCTTCATACTGTACTGTCTTTGATCGAGCAGTGGAAAAATTCAGTGGTAGTTTCTTTTGCGTTGGGAACAACAGTTGTTGACAACTGTAGCATTGTAGCTAAACGTAACCTTAACCTCAGTCTGTCTCCTAACATTTTAGTCATTTTAGCAGACGCTCTTATCCAGAGCGACTTACAGTTAGTGAGTGCATACATTTTCATACATAACATGACACGTTAATTCACCTAGCGGTTAAGAGCGTTGGGCCAGTAACTGAAAGCTTGCTGGTTCGAATCCCCAAGCCGAAGGTGGAAAATTCTACCGTTCTGCCCTTGAGCAAGGCAGTTAACCCCGAACAACTGCTCCCGGGCGCCGATGACATGGACGTCGATTAAGGCAGCCCCCGCACCTCTATGATTGAGGGTTTGGGTTAAATGCGGAAGACACATTTTGGTTGAATGCATTCAGTTGTGCAACTGCCACGTTAGTTATCCTAACCTATGTAAACAAACCATCAGTCTCATAACACCGGAACTGACCAATGCCAGGTATCAATGGGCGTTTCCTGATATCAGGGAACACCCACGTCAAGAAACACGAATTGCGGTCTGCAATTACACCATTAGGTGCAACCACGGCCGTGACTCGAACCCTGGTCCAGCTACTGTCGAGCCAACACCTTTATACCAAGAGGACCAAACCTATTGAGGAGGTCACTAGTTGTCGAGTTAATGTCGTTACAATATTTTTTGCACAAATACGAGATATCAGCTATTATTATTAGATGCATTAAAATATGGCCACTATAGTCCTTTCAAAATGTGCCTCTCCACACAAATAAATGTTTTTCGCAATGTTATTTTTTTTTGCATTATCATGTAGGGCTTTGACGTCAATTTATATGTTTTTGAATTATATGGACTGAGTAATAATTGGTGTAGGCCTAATTAGACAAATTAAGTTGAGGTGGAAATAGGCCTAATAGTGTCCAGATAATGACTTGAGTTAAATTCATAGGATCTGTCCAGGTTAAAACAATGAGAAATACATGATTAACACATGGTGAGGTCAAGGTCAACCGTGCTCTTATTATTAATAAGGACAATGAGAACCTTTTAATCATCCCTTGAGCCATTTCTCAATTTATCTGAAGTTCTCTTTTCCTCTTATTACATTAGTTGTTACATAGCCCATACAGGCTGAGTAAAGTCATACACACACACACACACACACACACACACACACAAATCAGCTCTGAAGTCATAGCTCCCTCCTGTTTTACCCTTTCCATTCCCCCTTCCCTCCTACCCTTGTTGTTCATCCCATAACATGTATAAACATAACCTACTGTAGAACCATTGTTGTAGTACTCAAGACCGGTCTCGAGACCACATTATGAGTGTCTCGGTCTTGTCTCGGTGTCGGATACATTTTGTACTCGGTCTTCACTCGGTCTCGGACAGCGAGGACTCGTAATTTCTTCCGGAGACCAGCCGAGACCAGAGGAGTAAGAAACTCATCATTATCAGCTTCCATTCAGCAAGCGCATAAAACCGCTTCACCGGGCCAAATATATACATTCCTTTCTTGAAACATTAATACCTGAATAGTCTGTATATCTATTATAGACGTTTGCGCAGTGGCGAACCTATTGGACCTCTAGGCCTTCTGTGTGTGACAAGTTCGTGAGGACAGCAACGGTAATACAAGCGCACTCATGTAGGAAAGTGCACTTTTTGTAAAACACAAAGGGGCCAGTGGTGTAGTGTAGGCTATATGCAGGTATACACCGTATAGCAACTTTTTTTTCAGTGTGCATTGCGTATACTCACTTTTTAATCCCCACTGATGCGTATCAAAGTAGTGTAGTGGAGGTATACGATTTATCAATTATGTAGTACAATAGTGAACTCATGCACAAAGTAAACTACACAATCGCAAGACACGTGAAATATATTCACACATAGCCTACTTTCAGCGGAATATCATCTGCAGGCAGCAAGAGCGCGAAGCTCTCAACTGGTTTTGGCATGGAGCAGCGCACAGAAGAATGTCATCCGTAGCCAGTAGGTAGGAAAGACGTTTCAATTTATATATACCAGTAAATGCTAACTAAGGCAACAATGGGTATGCAAACCAGGTATTGAAAAAGTTTGGTCCGTAGTCTTGGTTAGTAGACTTATTTGTGACGTGCATTTCAGTCATCATGGGCAGTTGAGTGGGCCTGGGAGGACATTGTCATCATAGGCAGTTGAGTGGGCCTGGTTGGACATAGGCCCACCCACTGGGGAGCCAGGCCCTGCCAGGCCCACCTAATCAGATTGAGGAAAAACAAAAAAAATAAAACATTATTATTACAAAAAACACAGTTCCACTCACAACCCTTTCCTGCATTCAATGATCAAAAGCGCCCTCTTTGGTCTCATGGGTGGAATGTTATTAATATTTTTCAGAATTTCATAAAGATTCTTTTTTTTTTTTAAACAGACGAAAATCCAGTGTTTCTATGTCAAACAGTTTTGTTATATTTCAGTCTTCTCTGATGTATATAAAGTGTAAAATTACGATGCAAACTAAAAATTGAATACATTTCAACTCTATATCTGACATGGTACAGGTGTCCTTTTTTAAGCCCATAACCATGTGTGTGAGGTGTATACTTTTGTTTCAAAGTAGATTTGTTTAAGACTACCAATAATCACTCTGTGTGACCCTAATTTAGCCCACTGCAGTAAAAATGGTCCCACCCATTAAGAGCCAAAATGTGATTGGTTGATTCCACTGTCACTCCAACATTTTGCCCTAATACAGTTCAATGGCAGATGCCTTCTATCTTGTTTCTGATGGCCTAGCCAATGGCTGATTTAGCTAGCTAAATGTATCTCCCCAAAAATCCTGATTGGATCTTTTTTTCTCTTCAGTGTTAACCCTTTCCGTTTCAACAAAAATATTAAATTAGAACATAATTGAAAATAATAATTTGAATTGTTATAGTTATTATTTCTTAGCCCTTCTCTGAAGGTGTAGAAGGCCCTCATTGTTCCCCACTGTTTTTGGGTTAGTAATAATTTGTAGAGTGGCTCTATTTGCCCTCAGCATGCATTTTCTCACCATTCTGAATGTCTAAAGAATCCATATGTTCTACTGAAATATAAACACAGAAATACTGGACATATTGAACTCTTATTATGGTGACGATTTGACAAAATTACAATCATGGTCTTGAATTGGACTCGCATTTTTCTGGTCTCAGTCTTGACTCGGTCTCAGACCCCTTGTCCCACGTCCGGTCTCAGTCTTGACTCGTCTCACCCCCCTTCCGGTTTTGGTCTTGACTCCGACTCGATTTGCTCCGGTCTTGAATCCGTCTCGCTTTAGGTGGTCTCAAACACAACACTGCATAGAACTATGGAAAGCTGAACTCAGATCAGTGTAAAGTAAGACTAACCAGACCCCCCATACCTCTTATGCATGGTCACACCTGATATGCCCTTTTCTTGTCCATCTCAATGTCAATTCCCTTTACTAATCAGGTCACATAATTAATACCAGTGGAATAACAGTTTGATTGGACTTAATTGGTGGTTTTGAGGCCATGTCACATCCTAAAGAGACAGAGCAATAGGTATAAAAGGGTACCTTTTCATGGCAAGGACCATGAACAAAGACATTCAACCTCTACCAAGATCAACCATCAATCATCGACAAATTCGCAGATCATCCTCACCAAAGCCTCAACCTCAACACAGTGAGTGTGTCTTCTATATATCATACAGTGTCTGTATTTTCTCTGACAATCTTAAAAATACTTAATCTAAAAAATAAATTAAAAAATTTGCAGGACATGTTTTTGTAACAGACTTTGCAGGAACTATCATCTTATCTCTATCCTGAGACAAGTAGCGTCAACTTTAGTCAAACTTAAATGTTTCCTTCTTTCTCAGTGGCTATGATTGGCGCCCCAGTGTCCGCCCTCTGTCTGCTGTTCCTGCTATCTGTATGCACTGCCTGCTACATCTCCAACTGCCCCATAGGAGGCAAGAGATCAGCACTAGACTTCCCATCCAGAAAGGTACCAAGTAAAAATCTAATCAGTTCCACTTTGTTATTGTCTATTGTTACTGTATGTCTGTTATAGACTTAGATTCCTGGCTGCCATATAGGCTTGCATCTTAGCTTTTTTTTACACTCCAAAAACACACTTATACAAACAACAAATTACAGACACACAATGACTAATCTGCCCAGACCCGCATGCTCAGTAGTGCCTGCATTATTGTTTGTCACTTGGCCTTAAATTGTACCAATTTGTTTTTCCTCAGTCGCCCATGCTATTTCAATAAAATTGATTGATTTTCAAGTTTTTAGTATACGTTTTGTCAAGCCCATTGGGTATCTCACTACACCCCAATAACTTACTACATTTGCACACACTGTATATATATTTTCTGTTGTATTTTTGACTTTATGTTTTGTTTACCCCATATGTAACTCTGTGTTGTTGTTTTTATCGCACTGCTTTGCTTTATCTTGGCCAGGTCGCAGTTGTAAATGAGAACTTGTTCTCAACTGGCTTACCTGGTTAAATAATGGTTAAATAAATAAATAAATATTGTACCGTTATGAAAAAAATAAAATGTTATATAAATATATCACTTTTATCTATAACAACAATGTAACTTTCTGCTTCCTATTATCTTTCCAGTGCATGTCATGTGGCCCCGGGGACAGGGGCCGCTGCTTTGGCCCTAATATCTGCTGTGGGGAGGGGATGGGCTGCTACGTGGGCTCCCCAGAGGCAGCTGGTTGTGTGGAGGAGAATTACCTGCCCTCCCCCTGTGAGGCCGGAGGAAGAGTGTGTGGCTCTGAGGAGGGACGGTGTGCTGCACCCGGGGTCTGCTGTGACGTGGGTAAGACAAAGACTATACTCCTGTTTTCCTGTATAGCAAATGTTTCTGTTCATACTGACTGATTCTGCAAAGGAGCAAAACGCCTTGCATGCAGTAGGGTTTGTTTTTCTCTGGATTGCTGGTTGTGGCAATTTCAGAAGACTATTTAATTGTTAATAGCATGTGCCAAGCTCTTGTGGTATTGAATACTTTGTCATTGTCAGCTACCAAACTATTTGTTCCAAGATCACTTAAGAGTTTAAGAATACATGTGGTGATGTGTAGCCATTAGCCAATGGTAATAATGTAATAATTAAATGTATTACTTGTTGTGAGTTCATATGGATTCAGTTTTATATTACAGTTGTGTGACAGATTGTCTATTTTTGTATTTTCTCTTTTAGAGGGTTGTAGTATTGACCAATCCTGTTTCGAGAAGGATGAAGCCGAATACATAAGCCAATCAGTGAGCAGTAGCCATGGCCACGATCTGCTGATGAAGCTTCTACACATGATTAGCCACACCCCTCCCCACAGAGTCCACCAATAAAACAGCCTCTACAGGTATTCAGGGGCAGTCCTGAGTTGAAAAACAGTGTAAAAAATCTGTAACGTCTCAATGTCAGAGGCATAGCTATGTACATACATTTTGTACAGAAGACAGATATAGACGTAAAGAATTCGTTTTTGCTTGTAACTGCTTGTGTAATCGCTTGTGCTTCAAGAGTCAAATAAAAATTACTGTACAAAAACAACTGTCAGGTTAGTCGAGAGCTAGGTTCCATCCAATTTGTGACCGATTTTTATGCGAATATTCTCAAATCTGCATAAAACAATACGCACATTTTCCCACCAGAGATTTTTCCATCAAGCAGACTTTTTGTTGATAACAGGCTGTGCGTAATGATGTGGTGCACACAAAAATAACTTTTGCCATTACATTCCTATTTACCGAATGAAAAATACAGGTTTAATGGGTTGCCATCGCATTTTCAAGTACTGATGGTTTTGTCACAGAAACTGTTGCGTTATATTGCAAAAGTGCCCCCTCTGGTCTTGGCACATGCACTCTAGCCAATAGCTCACAGATACGGTGCAGGTAGGCTACCTACATTATGAGATTATTATGGATAAGAGCGATATTATTTGAATTTGTCAAACGGCAGCCAAGCATCGATCATCATGTCACCAGAATAAGACCCTCGATATTTATTGGAAAGGTGCATCAAGCTCATCACATTGCACATTCACCACCCTGTGAAGTTCATCATAATTTTTTTCGTCACCAAAATAACACCCTCGATATTTATTGGAAAGGTGCATCAAGCTCATCACATTGCATATTCACCACCCTGTGAAGTTCATCATCATTTATTTCATCTGTAGCCTAATAAACTGCATGGTTTCCCGTGTCGTAGTGGGAGGACCACACAACATATAATAGTCTTGACTCCAAGTTTACTTCGATATGATGGTTATTATATCAATATTTGCGCATAAAGGCGTTTCCACCGTCATTTCTCGCATTATTAATTTTACTGACTTTGCAAAAAGATCCCACCATGTCGAACAAACTAATTTATGAAATTGTACCGGCATTTCATGTTTCCATTAGCCTGTTAGTGACTTTTTTTTATGCGTAAGGTAATTCATCTACATGAAATGGTTGGATGGAAACGTGGTTACTGTTGCAAGTCATCTCGGATTACAAGTCTTTCCAATACCCAAACACAAACACAAAAATTTACCACGAGATGTTGCTGAAATATGTAAGCAGTATGGAGGAGTTTGTGTTTACAGTATGTGTGTACTTTGTTTGTGTTACCTTACCATGCATGCTCCAATGTTGCCAACTTATTTAGCGAGTTTTCGAACCCTCTAGCGACACATTTTCAAAAAAGCCGGCACAGTCCTCGCGCAGCAGTCCCTCCCAAATGCAGTCAGAGCAGATGTTCACCCCTCCGCGTCCTGACTGCAAATGAATCGCGCATGCGGGAAGCCGCCGCTAGCTGTAGGGTGTTTTTTTTACTCACTTTTTGTCTTTCCCACGACGTTATTCCTCTCTTACAGCGTCCATCACAATTACATGCACATGGCCAATTATGCAAGTTATGTGATGGCGTCATTTAGCGACTTCTAGCGACTTTTAGGACAGCCAATAGCTACTTTCCTTACTGAGGAGTTGGCAACACTGGCATGACCAGATCGGAGTCATTCAACCTCTGACATCATCTTTACCAGACCCTCTCAGCCGCCTGAGAGCACAATAGGTCAGCAGCGTTGGCTGTAAAAGGTTTTATCCATAGCCATACAATACAGAGCCAGCCCTGATAAGAAAGTACACACTCGGGCACATTACAAGACAAAAAAGGCTAACAGACAGCTTTCTAATCAAGTGTGAGAGAAACCCATGCGACCCATATAAACCTACGGACAGGCAATTTCATGCACACTACCACCACAGGCAATTTCATGCACACCAACCACCACACTGTCTCCTACATGTAGTGATGGGAATAAAAACCTAAATCATAGCTCAGTTCTAATCATATACTGTAATTACTGCTGCACACATTATTGCCTCCAAACCTTTTGATTTTTAAGCCTTGAGACCATAGAGACATGGATTGTGTGTGTGCCATTCAGAGGGTGAATGGGCAAAACAAAAGATTAAAGTGCCTTCGAACGGGGTATGGTAGTAGGTGCCCGGCGCACTGGTTTGTGTCAAGAACTGCAACGCCATAGCCACGGAAAGTAGTTTGGGGGTGGGGGTGCTGCGATTTTGTTGCCGAAGGTGGGGGGGATGCAAAACATTTTTTGCCCGCACTGAAGACGTCTATATCGGTCTGCTAATACAGAACTAGTAAAGGCCCAGTGCACTACTTTTGTAAAAAGATGTAAACCAAATGTATTGGAGTGTTTACCAGCATTTATAACTGGGGTCTGATAAATATCTGTACAAAACAGTTAATTTGATAATAGTTGTGGAATATAAAAATACTTTCTTGAAATATTTTGTAAATGCAACTTATTTCTATGTGAAAACTGAAATGGTCTATTCATTCCTTTTCCATTTTAGTAGACACACTTACCCAGAGCAACGTACAGTTGTGAGTACATACATTTTCATACTTTTTTGTACTGGTCCTCCGTGGGAATCGAACCCACAACCCTAGCATTGCAAGTGCCATGCTCTACAAACTGAGCCACATCATCACAAACCACTTGATGTGTCAATATACTCAACTACCGTATTGTGCATTGTTTTTCTTTATGGTGATGGAAAGTCTACAGGTACGAACCTAGATGACCAGCCAATGTACAATACAGTAATATACATTTACATTAAGTGGTTTGTAAGGATGGTAAAATAATACTGCACAAAAAGTGGTTGTTTTCCAAGTTATTTGATCAAGATAAATATTTAATTTCATGTGGATGTTTTGTGTCTTTGCCCATAACTTCGTACCTTTTGAGGTAAATGTTTAAGGACAGGGTGTTGTTCTTTCTGGATTCCATTAGAATGACAATCACTGAGAAAGAGACAGGGCAACAACTCCTACAATTCCAACTATTTAATCCTGCAAGATACTGTTCTTAATTATACAACTACCTTTTTGCCAAAGCGGGAGATGCTGAACTATTTGGGGGGCCCAGGCTACAGAAGTCTATATCGGTCCGCTAATATTAGTAAAGGCCCAGTGCCTTACTTTTGTGAATTATACACTACTGGTAAAAAGTTTTAGAACAGCTACTCATTCAAGGGTTTTTCTTTATTTGTACTATTTTCTACATTGTAGATTAATAGTGAAGACATCAAAACTATGAAATAACACATCTGGAATCATGTGCAAAGCTGTCATCAAGGCAAAGGGTGGTTATTTGAAGAATCTCAAATATAAAGTATATTTTGATTTGTTTAACTTAGTTGGTTACTACATGATTCCATATGTGTTATTTCATAGTTTTGATGTCTTTACTATTATTCTACAATGTAGAAAATAGTACAAATCAAAAATCTAACTGTGGGTATAGTATTGCTGGTATTAGCAGTAAGTGGTATATTTTCCACTTTATGAAACAATTAGTACCAACCGAGCAAACTGATAGGTCAATAAGTGTTAGTGATTCCTGATAATCAATGGCAAATGCCTGTTAACAGTGTCATCTGAATTATCACTGCACATCCATAAGCCTAATTTCTTCATGTCTGACCCCTGCAGTGGGAGGACACAGTAGATACTGGTTCTCCTTCCAGCATGTCTGCATGGTCTCCACTATCCCCTCATCTCTTACTGCACCTGCTGTGAGGATTTGGGAAAACTGGAGACAGAGAGAGGAGGGAAGGGGGGGTGAGAGAGAGAGCATAAGTATGGGTGGTGATTTGAGAGAGAACATTAAACAACCAATGGTACTAGGCACCTATCTACGTGTTTGTGTAGAGCGTCAGGCAGTGTGTCTGTGAGAGTGCAGAAACTCCTCCCACATGCCCTTTAACAGGGCTCCATCGCTACCAGATAGCAGCCAGAACACACACTCCATGTTATAGGGGTGCTGGGGAGAGAGTACAGTGTTAGCCACAGTATACACACACTTCTTAAACCTTAAATAAAGTGGCGAGCCATCATGCACAGCACCTGAATGTCTATAGCCTGGGCCAAGGTCTGCATGACATTGGTTGCCATGGAAAAGTTGCCACTCTGCACCATCCTTGTGCACCATGTCATTAGCGTTCATCATGGCAACGAGGCGCAGCGGTATCCCCATCTATTTCACAATGCAGCCGGCTGAGAGAGAGGACAGAGAGACGGACAAAGAATGAAGAGAGGAGAGATTAAGGAAAATCTGAGAAAAACATGAGCTATCTTCCAATACTCTCAAATGGCTTAGGTTCCTTTAGGAATGTTCTTCCCAAAGGCCTAAATAAGTAATGCGAGCTAAGGAATATGGTAAAATATAAATATATCTTTAATCATCAAACAAATCAAATAAAAAACTGTTGCATGGTCACACTTCTCACCGGCCCTTCCTGTGTGCACTATCATCTCCAAGACGAGTAGAGGTGCCCTTGTCTCTGCCTGCTTCAGCCCGCTCAAATGCAGTTAGGCATAGAGGAAGTGTGCCAACTGCATCATTACAGGAGACCTGTTGACTGAGTTGAGACTCATCAGGCTGTGTTGTTTCACCAGCTTCTGGTCTGAAAACAGACGACGGATGGGCATGTCGATGTCATCAGAACTGCCATCCGCTATGGTTGCAGGGGAGAAAAACAAGGGTTGTGTTATCATAAGGTGAGGTAATTATTATTGGAGGGCTTAAACGACTACATTTTCCCATGATATGGCTTGGACATTTCCATCATCTCTCACTCTATCAAAGAAAGGGCAAGGAGAGGAAGCCACTTTACACTATTAAGATGCCCCCTCATACTGGCCCTCTCTAACCTGCAAACATATGGATGTTGTTCTCCAGGCAGGTGATCATCTGTTTCTCCTGCACAGGGGTTATGCCGCCCCGGGGGTACAGCACGTCTACCCCACCGAGGCCTCGCGAACTCTGGATGGCTGAACCACCTGTGTCCCCGGACATGCCTGGGAAGGTAGGAATATGGGAAAAGGATAGAAGGACACTATTAAGACAGACATAAGACTAAATATACATACAGTGCCTTCAGAAAGTATTTACACCTCTGGACATTTTCCACATTTTGGGTCACTGGCCTACACACAATACCCCATAATATCAAAGTGGAATTATGTTTTTAGACATTTTTACAAATTAATTTAAAATGAAAAGCTGAAATGTCTTGAGTCAATAAGAATTCAACCCCTTTGTTATGGCAAGCCTAAATAAGTCCAGGAGTAAACAAGTCACATAATAAGTTGCATGTACTCATTCTGTGTACAATAAGTGTTTAACATGATTTTTTAAATGACTACCTCACACATACAATTATCTGTAAGGTCCCTCAGTCGAGCAGTGAATTTCAATCACAGATTCAACCACAAAGACCAGGGATATTTTCCAATGCCTCGCATAGAAGGGCTCCTATTGGTAGATGGGTAAAACAAAAAGCTGACATTGAATATCCCTTTGAGCATGGTGAAGTTATTAATTACACTTTGGATGGTGTATCAATACACTCAGTCACTACAAAGATGCAGGCGTCCTTCCTAACTCAGTTGCCGGAGAGAGAAAACGCTCAGAGATTTCACTATGAGGCCAATGGTCACTTTAAAACTGTTACAGAGTTTAATGGTTGTGATTGGAGAAAACTGAGGATGGATCAACAACATTGTAGTTACTCCACAACACTAACCTAAATTACAGAGTGAAAAGAAGGACGACTGCACAAAACATCAAATAAAATAAATTCTTATTGGTCACATACACATATTTAGCAGATGTTATTGCGGGTGTAGTGAAATGCTTGTGTTCCTAGCTCCAACAGTGCAGTAGTATCTAATAATTAACAACAATACACACAAACCTAAAAGTAAAATAATGGAATTAAGAAATATATAAATATTAGGACGAGCAATGTCGGAGTGGCATTGACTAAAATACAGTAGAATAGAATACAGTATATACATATGAAATGAGTAAAGCAGTATGTAAACATTATTAAGTGACTAGTGTTCCATTATTAAAGTGACAAGTGATTCCATGTCTATGTATATGGAGCAGCAGCCTCATATTAATACATAGCATGATATAAAAAATGACAGTAAGCTTTCTGTAAACTTACAAAAAGCTACTGTGGCAAAAAAACAAATGTAAAGCCTATTTGTTTAATAGAAATTAAGGTAAATTCAATGCTACTGACTATCGCATTTAGTCTATACATTTTCGAATTAACATAATTCGAATTAACGTATTCTGACTCCGAATTGGCGTAGCTACAAGACAGCCTGTGGAACTATCCGTGCAACACCAGAGTTCGAAGTGAAGAGGTATTTTTACAGTCTTTCGAAGTGGTGTGAAAGAGTGGTTCTCCTATGGTCAATGGGGTGCCCAAAGAGGAAGAGGCGAAGCGAGATGTTTTACTCCGGCCAAAATCTCACTAAAAATCATTTTTGTTTGGAGGTCAATGAGAAAGTGTTGAATTTGGTCAACAAAAAATTGAATTGCTACGTGATGCTGATTTGATTGAATAGAAGTTTCGTAATAGTTAGGTTGTTACGAATGCACTGATATACGTGGATGCATGTGGCATTTCGGCAATTTACGCAAAAATGACTTTTTTTGGAGTTGTGCCTGTTGTCACATAGATAGATAGAAGACTCATCATGGATATAACCTGCTTAATTTGTTCACATTTTTTTCACCTTTATTTAACCAGGTAAGCCAGTTGAGAACAAGTTCTCATTTACAACTGCGACCTGGCCAAGATAAAGCAAAACAGTGCGGTAAAAACAACAACAACACATAGTTACATATGGAATAAACAAAACTTACAGTCAATAACACAATAGAAAATCTATATACAGTGTGTGCAAATGTACAAGTTATGGAGGTAAGGCAATAAATAGGTCATAGTGCAAAATAATTACAATTATAATTTAGTATTAACACTGGAGTGATAGATGTGCAGAAGATGATGTGCAAATAGAGATACTGGGGATGCAAATGAGCAAAATAAATAACAATGTAAATAACAATATGGGGATGAGGTAGTTGGGTGGGCTAATTACAAATGGGCTGTGTACAGGTGCAGTGATCGGTAAGCTGCTCTGACAACTGATGCTTAAAGATAGTGAGGGAGATAAGTGTCTCCAGCTTCAGAGATTTTTGCAGTTCGTTCCAGTCATTTGCAGCAGAGAACTGGAAGGAATGGCGACCAAAGGAGGTGTTAGCTTTGGGGATGACCAGTGAGATATACCTGCTGGAACGCATACTATGGGTGGGTGTTACTATGGTGACCAATGAGCTAAGATAAGGCAGGGATTTGCCTAGAAGGGATTTATAGATGACCTGGAGCCAGTGGGTTTGGCGACGAATATGTGGTGAGGGCCAGCCAACGAGAGCGTACAGGTCACAATGGTGGGTAGTATATGGGGCTTTGGTGACAAAACGGATGGCACTGTGATAGACTACATCCAATTTGCTGAGTAGAGTGTTGGAAGCTATTTTGTAAATGACATCGCCGAAGTCAAGGATCGGTAGGATAGTCAGTTTTTCGAGGGCATGTTTAGCAGCATGAGTGAAGGAGGCTTTGTTGTGAAATAGGAAGCTGATTCTAGATTTAACTTTGGATTGGAGATGCTAAACGATATAATGCTTATTATATCGTTTAGGAACTTGAGCGTGGCTGAGCCAGCTCGGAAACCAGATTGCATAGCCGAGAAGGTACGGTGGGATTCGAAATGGTCGGTGATCTGTTTGTTAACTTGACTTTCAAAAACTTTCGAAAGGCAGGGCAGGATGGATATAGGTCTGTAACAGTTTGGATCTAGAGTGTCACCCCCTTTGAAGAGGGGGATGACCACAGCAGCTTTCCAATCTCTGGGGATCTCAGACGATACGAAAGAGAGGTTGAACAGGCTGGTAATAGGGGTTGCGACAATTTCGGCCGCTAATTTTAGAAAGAAAGGGTCCAGATTGTCTAGCCCAGCTGATTTGTAGGGGTCCAGATTTTGCAGCTCTTTCAGAACATCAGCTATCTGAATTTGGGTGAAGGAGAAGCGGGGGGAGGGGGGGGGGGCATAGGCAAGTTGCAGCGGAGGGTGCAGAGCTGATGGCCGGGGTAGGGGTAGCCAGGTGTAAAGCATGGCCAGCCGTAGCAAAATGCTTGTTGAAATTTTCGTTTATCGTAGATGTATCGGTAGTGACAGTGTTTCCTAGCCTCAGTGCAGTGGGCAGCAGTGAAGAGGTGCTCTTATTCTCCATGGACTTTACAGTGTCCCAAACCTTTTTGTAGTTAGTGCTACAGGATGCAAATTTCTGTTTGAAAAAGTTAGCCTTTGCTTTCCTAACTGATTGTGTATATTGATTCCTGACTTCCCTGAAAAGTTGCATATCGTGGGGGCTGTTCGATGCTAATGCAGTACGCCACAGGATGTTTTTGTGCTGGTCAAGGGCAGTCAAGTCTGGGGTGAACCAGGGGCTATATCTGTTCTTAGTTCTGATTTTTTTGAATGGGGTATGCTTATTTAAGATGGAGAGGAAAGCACTTTTAAAGAACAACCAGGCATCCCCTGATGGAATGAGGTCAATATCCACCCAGGATACCCAGGCCAGGTCAATTAGAAAGGCATGCTCACTGAAGTGTTTTAGGGAGCGTTTGACAGTGATCAGGGGTGGTCGTTTGACCACGCTGTAGCAAGCGGCAACAGTGAGAGACTTATTTCTGGAAAAGTGGATTTTTAGAAGTAATAATAATAATAATAATATGCCATTTAGCAGACGCTTTTATCCAAAGCGACTTACAGTCATGCGTGCATACATTTTTTGTGTATGGGTGGTCCCGGGGATCGAACCCACTACCTTGGCGTTCCAAGCGCCGTGCTCTACCAGCTGAGCTACAGAGGACCACAAGTAGAAGCTCAAACTGTTTGGGCACAGACCTGGATAGTATGATAGAGCTCTGCAGGCTCTCTCTACAGTAGATTGCAACTCCGCCCCCTTTGGCAGTTCTATCTAGACGGAAAATGTTGTAGTTGGGAATGGAAATTTCAGAATCTTTGGTGGCCTTCCTAAGCCAGGATTCAGACACTGCTAGAACATCAGGGTTGGCGGAGTGTGCTAACACAGTGAATAATTCAAACTTAGGGAGGAGGCTTCTGATGTTAACATGCAAGAAACCAAGGCTTTTGCGGTTACAGAAGTCAACAAATGATAGCATGGCCATTGAGGCTTCCACCATTTTAAAGTATTCAACTGGGCGGGGATTCCTTTGAGTTTGGAGCAATCAGCCAACAAAAATAAGAAAATGGACTACTTGGAGATGCTGTTACAGACCCTATAATCGCACAGATACAAAGATGAGTCCTCTATCTATCTCTATGGCCAGTTGTTCACACGCATATCTGCCCTCTTATTGGCTAGAATGGTCCCACCTGATGTTGCCTCCTCCCGCCTGCCTTCCATGATCCTTGAAGACATGTATTTCCATTGTTAGAGCTGTCACTCGAATATCTTGTCAATATAATAGACACTCTTTGGGGTGCCTAACATTTCCAAATATCTACTCGAGAGCGTCACCTACTGGTCAATGCAAAAACTGTATAGTATAAAGGTGAGGGACAAGTTGACAACGACATTAGGCAAAAGGTAATCTAGGCTTTTTTTATATATATCTCAACTCTATAAACATGAAGCAAAGTGGTTTAACAAAAAATACCTTGATAAAATGTTGCTCCCTGTAGGCTATGTGCCATGAATAAATTCTAGCCTACTAAGTTATTGCATGTGCAATAATTATATTTTTCCTTAGCTACACTTTGAAAAGCCGGTGATATGTGAATGCTTCCACACAGCCCGTTACACAGCAGGTAGTGTAAAGCATAGCACAGAGGACTTACGACCAACCTTTACTTGGCGATACTTTCTCAATTCCCGACATGGAAGACAACGTCTTCTAAACTTCC